ATATATATATATATATAAAGAAGTAAGTGAACAACCAGATAGAATGTATTTTGGTACATTTCCTTGGAATATATTTATAACTTAATATAATGGTAATAATGAATTATTTGTAGGTGCTTACTTATATGTGCCTAGTTCTGTGTTAAAAACTTTAAAATTATCAACACAGGAACGTTATGACATTGATAGTTGATACTTGAATGATCATATTACATGTATTAGTTTACCAAGTTCTTTGTCTACTGATTTTGTTTTTAGCATTAAAATATGTATAGTATTTTACTTGGCCATTCCCCTGGAATTTTTAGGTTATTTCTCCGTGTTCAGTATTATAACATCTTGATGTATTATTCCTATATTTATCTCTGATAATTTCTTTAGAATAAATTACCTTGGCAATGTTGCATTGTTTAGAGCCATATTCTTAATAAGTATTTCATTCTTCTTAAATAAAACAATTGTTTTAAAAGAAGTTGCAGGGGCTTACAGGGCAGAGAAAGTGACTCATTCAGTACTTCGGAAAGGAGCTCCTCAGTTAACCTTCGTTGGAGTGTATTTAATTCTTATAAAAAATTTCATAAGATAGATGTTACTATTATGGCTATATTTCAAGTGAAAAAACTGAGCAAAAGCAGTGACACCACTGCTCAAAATACAAAGCTAGTATGTAGCAGGGGCATAATTCACACCCAGGGTGTCTGAACATACATCCTTTGACCACTAGCCCTACTTCTTTTCTAGTTTACAGGCAATATCTAGTTCTAGGTTCATTCTGTTTGTTCGAATATCCACCATGCGAAAAGGCTAGTACATTTGTAAACCTCACTGATGTGATGCCTGTTACTGCATATGTTGGTATAGAAATGGGGAAAGACTATATAAACTGCCTAGGATAAATTAAGTTCTTAGACTGCTAATGGTATTAAATAGCAAGAGCTATCCATTATCAGAGCTTTAAGTTACCATTAGCAACAACCTTTAACATGCTCTAATTAGTTGCAAATCATAGGTAGATGGATATATCTTAAAGGAACCTGTGGCCCACAAAAGAACTATCATGTGTGCCAAAGGAATAATTAAATATTTGTCATAATTCAACAAAGATGAAAAGTAAAGTGTAATTATGTTTCTTTCCCAGGAGACAGAGTAGAAAGAATTATCAAATAACCTTGTGACCAGTACCCTTGATAGGAAACATTACATCTAAGTAGAGCTAACCATTATGCTTGATACTGCTAATCCAGAAATCCAGTAAAATAACTTGATCCTGTTATCAGAATACAAATCTGCAGTATCACTGAAGCCAATCAGACATTTTCCTGTTGTACAGAAATTGGATATTGGGAAATAACCTTCATGTTTTTAAACTTTTTTCTTGCAGTAGTGGAACAAATGATGTCCCTCTCTCTGCTTTTGTGAAAATTTGACTTACTATGCAGCTATATAGCCTATTAAGACAAAACCTATTCAGGCCAGAAATAAATGTTTATAAATTATGAACTTTTAATTACCACTAATAATAGACTCTGGAGGACTAGATATCAAAGGCTCAGGAAACAGTTTTTGGGAAATCACAATATATGTACTTGATAGGTAATACAAAAGTAGAGGACAGAATATCAGACGTGCTTCAAAGAACTTGATTGTTAGTTGGGGAGATGAGTTATATGACATTGGATAAAATGATAACTTATTTCCTTGAATTGTTACATAGGTGGAAAATCAGGGCCTCTAAGTTCAGAGGAAGGAGAATCACTGTGTACTTGACCAGTTAGGACTCTACTTTCAGAGGAGACAGAATTTAGGCCAGTCACTGAAGAATGGAAAGAAAGAGACATAGCATTTTAGCAACAGGGAATCATGCAGGATAATTCAAAAGTCATTTATATTTGACTAGGATTTTACTTGACTGTAGAAAGGTCTAAGCACTAAAAATTTCCTCCCATTCAGATGAAGTGATATGGAGATCAACTCAGATGGGAGATAGAACCTCACTTTTCCAAATGACTCAGTACCTCCTTATGGCTCTCTCTTGCCTTGGAGGCACAGGCATTATACTGTTAACGCGAACTAAAGCTCTGAATGGCAAAAAAAAAAAAAAAAAAAAAAAGTTATCTAGCTGCTGATGTATGAACAGAACTCATGCTTGAATGTAGAGAAAAATTAGTTAAATTACATCATAATATCAGTTAAGGTGTCATAAAAGTAGTTGCTGGCTCAGGTTCTATCCCATTATCTTATTGAGAACAAATAATTCCATCATTAGAAGTTATAATGTAGTTGAGACCAAATAATTTTAATTTTAAGCTTGTAGGACCTGAGAAACCAGCAAAACTATTAATAGTATCTGTCACAGGGTGGTCACAACTGATATTAGATCAATTTTTAGTCTCAGGATACTTTAAACCACACCAGAAACACCGAGAATTCAGATCTGAGGAAATAAAACTCCAAGTACCTCCATGATTCTGACAAAGATGAAAGGTCAACAGTCAAGTAGTTTGAGACAGAGTCCTATCTGCCATTGTGAGTAGTCATCCCTTACCTTCTTTGGGCTTCATTTCCTCATCTGCAAAATGGGAAATGATTCCTGCCTACATAATGAGGTTCTAACAAAAACTGCATGAGGTAAAGGTTATGAAAGGCATCTATAAAGGCAGGTGTGGGGTGAGCCAAGAATTTGCATCAGGTGGAGGACAGCAGAACACTAAGTACTTGCCCTGGCTGGTAACCAAAGATTGATGGTATCATTTTAGAAACAATGTGAAGGTTTCCTTGGTGTTCTTTGCACATATTGCTAGTTGTATTTTTTCCTGGCATGAAAAAGCAAAAGAAAGTGTTGCTATAAGGTAAGATCTTAATAACATGCATACACGAGTCCGAATTATAGATTCCTTTACCATGTGCTTTTTCTGTTAGTGTAGTTGTTGACTTGATACAATATAATACCTCTACATTGGGGTGGTTGAGTAGCATTGTGCTGCTTCATTCTCACAACAATCCTCTGATAAGTGATTTGCTTTAGTCTCTGCATTAGAGAGAATGAAGAAAGGTTTCAAGACCTTGAAATCAAGGATTTAGACTGGAAATCATTTGTCATTTGTCTCCATTCTTTACACTATATATTGTTGTATACCAAAAGGGTACTTAATTTTTATGGCTTGATATTTAGAAACCTATAGAAATATTGTACTCATTAATTATTCCTGCTAAGATGATTTAATAAGCTAAGTACTGGCATTCTGGAGATATGCTTGCTAATACTTTATCATTGAATTAACAGGACTCTAGTGTTTAAATAACATAAACCTATCCCTAACTTAGGCAAGTAAGATACTTTATTGGCTTACACAACTGGGAAGTCCAAAAAGTAAACCTCTGATTCAGCTGGATCTTAAAGTTCAAGTGTTAATGTTTCAGTCTCTCAGCTCTGCTTTACTTTATCATGACTTCTTAAAGCAATGATATCCTAGCAGCTCCAAGCTTATGTGCTACTCTTTATTGTCCATGATTCAGAATGGGAGAGGAATCATTTCTCTATAGCTGTAGAGTCTCTGGAAGGGGCACTGATTGGCTATGGTTAACTCTCTTGATACCCAGGGAACAATCAATCATGCAGCTGAGCCTGGCCCTGATTGGCCATATGGATGATGATGACAACCTCCAGGAGAAGAAGGAAGTTCCTGCAGGGAAAAGATGCTAGTCTAAAACAAACACAAAAGCACTAACAGATGTCCTTTATAAAAGTAGATGTTTTATGTGCAAAATAAGGTATGATTTGAAAAATGAGAGAAAATTTGAAGAAAACCTAGCAAATTGTGTTTCCAGTAAAATGGAGATTATAAAATTAATTAAACGTTGAAAGCAAAAAAGATGAATAGCTCACACTTTTACAGTATTTGCCCTGTAGCCAGGCACTACTCTAATCACCACATATGTGAATTTGTTTAATCACCCCAGCCTTTGAGTATTTACACAAAGCTTGTTTTATTATTGTTTCCATTTCAAAGATTAGGTAATGCAGGCATAGAGGGTTAAGTAGCTTGTCTGGGTAGGGCCAGGGTACAAATCCTGTCTGCTGGCTCCAAGGCAGATGCTCTTAACCAGGATATTGACAGCCTCTTGATTATCTTCCTAATGGATTTAGCCATCCTGTCACATTAAATTTTTTAAATGCTTTCACAGGCATAGAGCTAGAATAGCAACAGAAATTTTGCTAATTCCTAAAAGTACTGGGAAACAGGATCATGTTATGATAAAGAACTGAGTTGCGAGCTGTATCATTTAGTATCTTGGTGATCTCATCCACATTACTTGTTCTCTTAGGTCTCAGTTTTCTTTTCTGATATGGTGATGCTAATTCCTACCTTACTGGGTAATTGTAAGTATTAAATGAGATTGTGCTGGAAACTGCTTAGCACAGTGATTGGCATGTCTATTTTAGTTTAAACACTGATCGTTTTCTATTTCCCAGTCACTTTACATAGTCTTTCTGTCTATCTGTATGTATGTATTTAGTTTTTTATCAATGTAAGCATTCATGTATATAAAACAATTGTGTAAGAAGTTACATAACTGAATGCGTTTATGTATAACTATACTTACCATAGTTAAGTAATATAAATTATTATAAAATACATTATAAACAATATGTAACAAA